TTTTTTCTTATTTCTTATTTTATTTTATTAATTTTAAGAATTGTATATTATTTAAATTGTATTTAATATCTTTATTTTATTGAAGTTATTATTTAAGGTTTATTTTATTTATTCTACAAATGTAGAATATATATTGCCATTCGTGAAAATTGTAGTTAAATAGTAATATTGAAGTTATTTAAATTATTAAAATTATTTAAATTTTCAACTAGGGTTTTTATGCCACAAGGCTTTTCCCTGACGAGCTAATAAAGTATTATACCTTCTGGTATTAGCTCAACCACGTGTTTTCTTTCTTATTTCTTATATTAATTTAACCCTTCTTCTTCCTGACGTATAAATAAATAAATTTAATTATTCTTATTAATTATATATATATATTTATATTAACTTTTATCAATTGTATTAAATATCTTTATTTTTTATTAAAATTTTATCGTCTTATTGACAAACTAAGAGTATGTATTATATTGGCTCGCGGGATAGTTTCAGTTATTTTTGATGTTAATGTTTTTTTTCGACATTGTTTTTTAGGTTATTGAGGTTATACTCGTTTTGATACGGTAAAGAAGTATAACTTCTTACGTGCGTACATAAGTACACATACACGTTTTCTTTTGGTCAGGTTTTCTCAAGTATTTGAATAGTCGTAAAAAGTGTTAGATTAGGGACACCCTGCATGTAAGAACTTATAATACTTTCTTAAGAAAAAATTTTATTTTTTTTCTAATACTTACAGAAAGCTGGACCGGCTTGCACAAAAATGGTTTTTTTTTCTGCTATATAAATTTCCTCAGGATTTATCCAGTTAATACAATCAAAATTAATTCTCCTAGATGATTTACTCGTATTTCTTTAAGACGGGTAGCGTAGAGAATCTCGTGTAAATGGTTTGTTCTGAAAAAATTTAGTATTGTTACTTAATTAAAATAAAAAAACTGTCCTTTTTATTTGTGAAAAATGATTCAAATTATTTATTTTTAGCTAATAAAGATACAAAAATATAAGGTATTAGAGACCGATTAAATAAAACATAAACGTTATTAGAGAATCGAGAAAAAATAATATTAGAAAAAACGTGAGCATAAATTAGAATGTTAGATAATATGTATCGTACATGTGTTTCAAGTTTTGATATTTCATTGAATAAAAAGAATACTAATTAATTTTTTGTTTGCATATATTATGTAATGGAAATATATAGAAATGTACGTTGTTATATTGCGATCAATGAAAGAAAAAAGAAATCTTTTAAGTATGCTTTTTAAAGTCAAATTAAGGTCTGACTATGCACTGCACTACAGCTACTTTTCTCAATATTTAAAAGAGTGGAAGTAATTCATATTTTCAATAAAAAATAAAGACCCAGCAAAAGCAGTCTAATTTCGAACATAAGTAAAGTCTACAAGATTATAATGAACAATTTCGTTGTCCAAGTTATCTTAAATTAACAATCTGGTTTGAAAAATTCACATTTACCAACACATTTAGTACAAAAAATCATCATTGACATTATAAGAAGAATACAATACAACATTTAACTACACAGCAGCAGTTTTAATTTATCTTGAGAAAACTTTTAACTTGATTTGGTTACATAGGCTTATTTTTAAAGTTTATCAGATATTATTATATTTATTTAATGACCGACATCAAGATACAGTTAACTTACATATCTTTTTAAGTATTTATGTAAGCCTTCTACTAATTATGTACGCATTATTAAACAAATTTGACACATATAGCTCTTAGTTTTTCTTTTCCTAATTAAAAAGAGAATAGATCATTTTTAAATGTTCAACTAAAGAAACTGTAATAGTTAAAATGCAAATCAGACATTTGTAAAAACGTAGTTGAAAAAAAATTAAAAGAATTTTTTTTTAAAAGAAAAATTGCATATTTACTTACAGGTGTCGTTTGTGGGAACATATTTGAAGATAAAATAAACATATATAACAACATGATATAACTTATTATATGAGTACATTTATGCACCATTATGAAATAAAGAATAAAAAAAATAAGAACTTGTTTCGAATTTATTCGTCGCTTTCTTTGTAGTCCTAAAATGAGCACCTCAAGATTAGCGATTAATGACTTTATGATCCTCGATTTGCTCTCTTATTTCCATCATGTTATTATTTTACTAGCAAATAATCGCTGCTGTTTATTTGTTACGTCATTCTTGCTTGTAACATTGTTACGTCGAGTTGTTGCAAACCTTAAGCAATGAGACCTAAATACTGATATGTATGTTATCTCATATTTCATGAGCTCTCTAAAAATTTTACTCTATTGGCAAGGCAGAATTATTTTATATCGAATTGTACGGGTCTTGGAGGAGATTGATAAATACATACTGAAGAATTGTTTTACTTTCAATGAAATGAAGAAGAGAAAAAGCAATTTCCAAGAGCATTTAGGAAGAAATACTATTTTCTTTTCTAATTGATTTATTGATCTTATTACATCTTAATATCGGATTTTATCGGTTGCAATAAAGACTCGCTAGCGCCCAGTCGCGCTTAACACAAGTTCCTACGTATTTCTGTATAAATTAATTTAAGAAGTATTTATTTCTTTACTTGCTATTCATATTATAAACAAAAGTTATAAGTATCAAATAAATACAGTATTATATATATAGGTAAATATATATTACAAATAATAATACTATCGCCCAAAGAAGCATTACTATAAGTAAACTCAACAATTATAAAAAGATGTATTATTTATATTTAATTTTTTAATTATTCTAATGAAAAGAACGTGTATCATATATTTATTGAAGCTTTACTATTTCCTATCATACGTAAAGGTTTCTTTTCTCTCGATAAACAATAGACATCTAGCTTTTCTGCACCTTTATTCAATTTTTCTTTTAATATTCTAATTCTTTCTTAAAACAAGTTTCTTTTTCTGATTCCACAAATATATGTTAGTTTTTAATTTGAAAATATCCATATATACTTATAATAATATATATATATATATATACAGTGAAATATTATAATATTT